GATGAAATGACAGGATGTCTGAGATTTGCTTCAAAATAACAGAGGGGTGGGGTAGGGACAATAGTTGGGAGTGTGAATGGGCAAGACTTGCCAGTAGGTGATGGATGTTGGGGCTGGTGATAAGTACATGGGATTCGTTGTATTATTCTGTCTTTGAGTGTACTTGAAATTCTCCACAACAAGAAGATCAAAAATAAAATACAACAGAGACATACAGACAAAATTCCCAGTAATTAAAACATCAAGTATATCCAGCAATTCACTCTTAGATATATACTCAGAAGCCATGGACAAGAATGATTCATATCAATATTATTCATGATAGTCAAAAATTAAAAACAACTCAAATGTCCACCAAGAGGAAAAGCAGTAAATTGTGGTATATTCATATGTGAAATACTATACAACAAAAGAGAACAAACTGCTGTACAGAACCACAAAGATGTCACAAACCTAACATTCAGCAAGAAAAGACAGGCACATGAAAGTACATATCATACTCTCTATCATTCCACTTACATAAAGGTCAAGAGTAGCAAAACTAAGCTCAAGAACAGAGGTCAGAAAAGTGGTTACCTTTAGGGAGATGCTGATTGGGTAAAGGCACAATAGAACCTACTGGAAATGTTCTGTATCTTCATCTGAGTGATATATACAATATCTAAAACTGTCAAGCTGTACATTTATGATTTATGCATTTTGCTACAAGTAAATCTTGCTTCAATTGTTTTTAATAGTGACCAAAAAAAATCAAATACTGCTAGTTATCAGGAGATTCAGTGAAACAACTTCATCTATAACAGAATAGATTTTCAAAGCCTAAAGAATGAGATAATTCAGCTCTGGCCTCGGACAATTTTGATTGGAGCCTGCTACTTGCCTGCCACCTGCCCACACCTGAGGTGAAAGCAAGGACTCCCTCTAAGGACCTTCACTCTTAGCTGATCACAAACACCATAGAATACCAGAGTAGCCAACATCAGAAAACATAGCTTTAACTCCTGCTTCACCACCTAAGCAACTAGCTCTGGTTGTGGTCTTGACCTCACCAAATTCCAAGTAATGCAATTTTTAAAGGTAGTGATACAGATCTCTCACACAGGAGATTCAGCGCTTTCCTCACCGCCATGCCCGCTGCTGACACCCACTCCTTCAGGCAACTCCTGAGCAGTGCCCAGCAGCCTCTCCAGCCCTTCCACTAGCACAATCCACACCTCGCTAACTCTGGAATTCCTTACATTCTCCTCCCTAAAGGACAACCCTCAGAAAACTTGGATTCAAAACAAGAAAACAAAACCTGGTCTACTTCCTTAGGCCTAAGCAACCTTGATGGACATACAGGATGCAAAAATCTGAATTTACATGGCTTCAAAATTATTTAAGTATAAAAATAAATGGAATTTTAAATGTGTGAAATAATAGCACAACAAAAACTCCACAGGCACATGGTAAGTGTCACAGCACTGGGAAAAGCCCAGAAAAATCCTGGTACATCACAGGACATCTCTTCTCAGGGGCAGCTCCCATCTGAAGGGCAACGAGCTTACTATATACAAAGGTATAGGCCAGCCATGAGCAGAGCCCTTTTCCTCCAGATCTTCACGGCAATAGTTGACCAGACAGCAGCTCTCTGATGTGAGCACATAGTTGCCCTCACACCAGATACCGGCTTACGCTGCCCAACAAATTCTGGGGTAAGCTGGGGTGGGGCCTCCAGACAAGAAAGCCAGAACTAGCTGATGAGTTCCTGGGCCTGGAGCCTGAGCCTACTCTCAACACTCACTCTTGGACCTCCGCATGCTCACATCTTCAGCTACCAGCCAGCAAGGCGACAACACTGGTAGCTGACATACCTCTCCATTCTGTAAGGCAAGTCTCTGTACCCAGAGACTGCTTGAGACCAGCAGGTGAGGCCATGACCACAGCCCACAAAGCTTTCTACTATCCACCCAACCTACCTGGTCTGATGGTGCAGATATGGGGAAAGACTAGATTCTGGCTGCTCTCTAAGCTCTATCCATTTCTCCATTTCCTTACCACTGGAGCTGTGTGGCCTACATGGAGAAGCAGGAAAATCCTCTAAAATAGCTTTCAAACACAAAGAAAATTTGTAAAACACAATGCTCATAAGACAGAGTTTGAGGAGACCATTTAAGTCATCAGGAGCTACACCTTCATTTTACAGATGGGTAAACCAAGGCTTCTACAGTCTCCCAGATGGTGAGCAATCACGCAGGATGAGCATTCCTCCCCTAAGTCTCAAACAACCTTTTCCCCATCACAATACCCTATCAACAAAAGAGGAAAGGAAGAGAGGAAAGCTGAAGAGGGGACAAGATGAGGGACAGACAATGAAAGGCAGAGGAGCTGAGAATGTGGGGAGAAGAGCAATGTGAAGGAAGAAGGGAGGGCCTGAGAGGGGGACAGCACTGTGAACCCATCTCAGTGAATTAGGCCAGAGAACACATCCAGGCTTTTCCTCTTCCAACACCTGTCACACTGTGCTGGGGAAACTGGTTTGACAAGGACCACAGAGCCACTTAGAGGCTGAGCTGGGCCTAGCCTCTCCTCAGGCCCCACTGTCCTGCCACAGAAGTGGTGCTCTGGGTACCTGCTATGAGCAAAATACGGAACAAAAGGAAAGCAGCACTCCGGAGGAAAGACCCAAACCACCTCAGCCTTGCCAAAGGGACCAAACCTGAGGCTGATCAAGCCTTTGGATCCAGCTGCTGATTCACAGGAAATACAGAGAAGAGCATGCTCAACTGCACCCTGGGACACAATCTGCTAAATCTGGACTGTGAGAGATTCCACAGGTCTAAGGGCCCAGGTTCTTCAGCAGATAATTGCAAGGAAAAGGGACAGAGGGGAGAAAATGCAGATAAAGAAACTTACAAGATATGACAACTTTAAAAAAAATGGACAAAATTAAACTGCAGTGCCTAAGGATACACATTTGGGAGATAAAACCATTAAAAAAAAAAGTAAGAAAATGGCTACAAAAAGACAGGATGGGGTCACCTTGGGAAGGAAAGGGAGAGGGGGCTGTGGCAGGGTTGGGGCTCACAGAGAAGCCTCTGGTGGAACCAATAAAGTTCTATTTCATGACCTTATAATTCACTAAGCTCTACTTTTTTTGGGGGGAGGGTGGTCTTGTTTTCTCCATTTTTGTTTAATTTTACACTAGTAAAGTTTTTTAAAAGTTAAAAAATAGGGCTTCCCTGGTGGCGCAGTGGTTGAGAGTCCGCCTGCCGATGCAGGGGACACGGGTTCGTGCCCCGGTCCGGGAAGATCCCACATGCCGCGGAGCGGCTGGGCCCGTGAGCCATGGCCGCTGAGCCTGCGTGTCCGGAGCCTGTTGCTCCGCAATGGGAGAGGCCACAACAGTGAGAGGCCCGCATACCGCAAAAAAAAAAAAAAAAAAAAATTAAAAAAATAGATTTAAAAAGACAAGATTAAGTTGGGACTTCCCTAGCAGTCTAGTGGTTAAAACTCCACGCTTCCACTGCAGGGGCATGGGTTCAATCGCTGGTTGGGGCACTAAAATCCTGCATGCTGTGCCATGCGGCATGCATGCATGCACACATGAATGAATATATAAATAAATAAATGGATGAAGTAAACAGAAAACCAGTCCTGGAAGAGCTTGAGGACTTTGCAAAGCAGCATATGCAGAAAGAGAACCCCACCAGGAAGCATGGAACAGAGAGGGTGGCCTCATAGGCAACTGGGTGGAGACCTCTCTCTAATTCAGAGGTTTGGCCTTAGGAACCACCACTGGCTGCTCACCCAGGTCCCACACTCTCCAATAGCTCTGCTGGTTATTAAGCTGATATTGTAGCTACCTGCATGACTCCTTTATCCTTCTCAACTGGTTCCCATGGCATCAGGGTTAGGAAATGGCTCAACAGGTCAGAGACATATCACTGTATACCCAAATGTCAGCTTGGCTTTGAAAATAATCTATTACTGCCCGCCAGCTCTCTAAGGTCCTCTCCCTGATCCCTCACATCACTCTCTAAGATGGGCCTGGCCCCCCAACTCCCCTTTATGATGAATCAGAGGCACAATGACTGCAGTCACTTGCCAGGGGCGTGACCCTCAGCCTCTCCAAATCACTTTTCCTGAAAAAAGGAAAAAAAGTTTTTCCTTCAACTGAAGGGAAATAACTTCATCACTTCTCCCTTTTTTTTCTGGTCAGGGCAACGATAGGGCCCATACCTCTCTCATCCATTGCCAGATCCATTCCCAGGGCCTAGCATGGTGCCCAGGACATGACAGTGACTCAAAAACCACCTGCCAGGGCTTCCCTGGTGGCGCAGTGGTTGAGAGTCCGCCTGCCGATGCAGGGCACACGGGTTCGTGCCCCGGTCCGGGAAGATCCCACATGCCATGGAGCGGCTGGGCCCGTGAGCCATGGCCGCTGAGCCTGTGTGTCCGGAGCCTGTGCTCCGCAATGGGAGAGGCCCACGTACCGAAAAAAAAAAAAAAGAAAAGAAAAAAGAAAAACCACCTACTGAATGAATGAACAAATAACTGAAACCCAGCGACAACAGGGCCTGCTGGGTGCCAAAAGACAGTCCCCTCCATAGTTCATGGGCTAGCCTGTCTTGCAAGGCTGCTTAACAGCCAATATTTCATCTTAAACACTTCCTAGATCAAATTCCTTTTTTCTTTAACTTTTTCCAATTATAAACATATATTCATTAGGTAAGCTAATGCATGTAAAGGACCTGACACAAAATACACTACTTAAAATATATATACAAAATACAAACAATCTTAACCCAGCCACCCATAATCTCTGACGGGTGTAATATTTCCGTGCTTCAGACAACCTACAAGAGCAGACTAGCTAAGGAACATGGACATCACTATGTATACCACTGGGCATCCTGCTTTCTCCACCCCAGATCCAAATTTGAAATAAAACTGCCAAGGTCAATAATCCCCCCACAATGACAAGGAGTCTGCAGTGACTGCAGTAGAAATGGAGTTACTTTCACAGCAGGGTTTCTTCTCTTGTACTGAGAATCAGCTCTGGCACAGTGGCCTCCTCTGCACTGCCCTGCACTGCCCCAGGACTACTCCCAGGCTGGGAGAAGGCCTGTGGGCTCTGCTTCCCCTCTATCCTATCAGAGGATTTAGAGTGAGCATTTAGAGATTTTCAGCTCCCCGCTGGTGGTATCATGTCATTTTCTTATCTGATAACAGCCAATAGCTTTACCCTCACCTGCCTCTAAAACAAAGATCAGAGACCAAATGCCTTCACTATCTGGAAATCACCTGGAGCCCTCTCCAGTGGGAACCCACAGGCAGCTCCCCCTGAACACAGATTCATAAAACCCGGCGTCTTCATCATCTGGAGGCTGAAACCCCATTTTTGTCTTTAGGATAATCATCCTCTGCTCAGAAGTTGGGCACCGGTGCCTGTACCCTCATCTTCCTCCCACCCCGGAGCTCTATGCTCAATTTGTCCCTCAAGGAGTCAAGGAAACCCAAAATACTTTAGCTTTCCAGGGAGGATGCTGACTTTACAGAGTAAGGTTCTAACATTCCAGACTGAGCTCATCCTCCTATACAACAAACAAAAAAGTCTTAAAATTTCTGTTCTAAAGAGTTCCAACACTACAGCTCAGCTGAATTACATGCTCCAGGTACAGAATCTGCTGCTGCCCAACGTTCAACCAGGAGCACTCACTTGCTCCAAGTCTCTTAAAATGCATCTGTTGACTGAAAAGTCAAAGTTACCTATTATAAACTACCTAGGCAAGAAGTCATATGGTCACATGGGGAAAAAATAAGTAGAGGTATAGCTCTTTGAAAACCAAGGGCTTTTCACACCAGACATGCACTGCTGTTGATAACTCAAACAGAAATAAACATTATACTAAAAAAGGAAACAAAGCACTTCCAGGCACTCAACTCATGCAGCAACCTTGCCAGTCCATGCTCCTTCTACTGCACTAGTGAGGTTCAAGAAAACAAACCTGGGCACACAAAGAATTTCCAAAGAAACTCCTTAAAAATATAAACAGTACTGTAAAGTTAACAGAATCCTTGGTCCTCAAACTATTTTTGTCCTTTATTCGTCTCGATGGGGCCAGTGCCTCCAGGACGATGCACCCCAATAAGACACCACAGCACTCAAAGCTCCACAGGTGGGCAGCTTCCCTGGTGGCGCAGTGGTTAAGAATCCGCCTGTCAATGCAGGGGACAGGGGTTCGAGCCCTGGTCCGGGAAGATCACACATGCCACAGAGCAACTGAGCCCATGCACAACTACTGAGCCTGCGTGCGCGCCTAGAGCCGGTGCTCCGCAACAAGAGAAATCACCAAAATGAGAAGGAGCCCGCGCACCACAGCGAAGAGTAGCCCCTGCTCGCTGCAACTAGAGAAAAACCATGCAGCAACGAAGACCCAATGCAGCCAAAAATAAATAAATTTTATTAAAAAAAAAAGCTCCACAGGTGAGCAAGCAGTCAAGCTAGAGCTGCTTTCTGAGAGGTATCAATGGGCTCACGTCTAAGGCTTTTTTTTTTTAATAAGATTCTACTTGGTACATATAAAATATGATCTATTATGTATGTAATTATAAACCACAATAAAAAAACACCCCTGAACCAATCACTTAACCTAAGAAATATGTCCAGCCTTTATTAAATATCGGACTCTCAGTTTACACTAGAAAAAGGATAAGTGTAATAACAGTAGCAATTATGGAGAGGTGTAGGGCATATTACTAGGAAGCTTTTATTTCCTCCTCAGCAGCCTATGGGGAGGATATTCTATCCCAATTTTGCTGAGGCAGAGAGGTCAAGGGCCTTACTTAAGGCCACATCAGGATGGGAGGGTTCCAAGGGACTCAGTACCTCTGGTAGGTTCCTTCCTCCGGCTCGAGTTTCTACTGCTGAGGGTAGTCAGTGTTTTCATTGTCCAACCTCGTCACACTTGTACCAAAAATCTTGCCTGTCGTGCCAAAAAGCAAGGGTTCAGTGGGTAGACCTCACCTCTTGGGAAGTCATGACCCAAAAGACCATAGCATGACCAGGCACTATCTGAAAGAACAGTTCTTCTTTAGAAAACTCAATACCATTTTATAACAAGTGCTGGCATTTGCAGTGTGATCTCAGCATGGCAAATATGTTTTATTCCTTTATTTGATAAAAACAAGTGCCACTCCCATCTTAAAACAGAGAAGGAAACGTATCACTCTGATCAGATAGCAGGTTAAAATAGGCTAGAATTTTTTTTTCCTGTAATAAAAGAAAGAAAAAAGGTAGGAGGAAGGCAAACATCCAGGGCAGTGCCAGTGCCAGCTGCTCCTTTCACAAGACACTTCCACAGAAGACAAAGAAATTGTACATATTGAAGCATCATGGAAAGAATGGAATTTTTTTTACTATGATCAGGAACAATTTCCAGGACCATTCCGAAGTCAACCTACCTGAGTTTTAGAGGAGCAAATTTCTCAGCAGCCTTCCATGCAATCAATATAGACCTCAAGTAGAAAAGCCCTTCGCCAATTCCAGAAAGGTCTGACTAGGCCTCCTCCATCCCCGCTACCACCACCACCAACTCACTCACCTACCCTTCATGGAACCTGCTAAACAACAGCTGATCACAACTCTGGCTCCTTATCTGAAGTCAACACCCCCGAAAGACAAACAGCCAGTGACCTCTATCTGTTCACTCATCAAAACCAAAAATATCTCATACATTTTTTTTCCAGGGACACACTTGCCTGGGGTCAGGAGAAGAACTGTCTGATGGGTAAGGCAGTCTGATATCAGGAGTGAGCTCCCATATCCGGAACAAACCTGTTTTTTAAAAAGTTGAGTCTCTCTGGCTTCCCCTACGCCATATTCTGGCATTTCACATCTTCAACAAGTTCTACAGTTGATTAAGGCCAAAATAAGTTTTTCCTTGGCTTTACTGAGATATAATTGAAGGCCAAAATAAATTTGAAAAACAAGAGTTTGAAGTCCAATTTCATTCACAAATAGATTAATCCTATGCCTCCCAGTGGATTCAGAATACTGGGCCTCCCCAGTGGCCTGGAGGAACTGCCCAGCCTCCTGTGACCTGGCACTCAGTCACCCTTGGGAGCAGCAGGCCTGCCTCTCCAAATATGGCCTGAGATCTGCAGTAAGAGTGAGCTCAGGCCTGCAAAAGGGTCCACAAGAATGTTTACCAAGACTGACAAACTTAGAGGGCAGCCCCAGGAGCAAAGAAAGCACAAGCACCATCCCTCAGAACACTCCTGAACAGCAGGGCAGCATGTGAGGAAATGACTGCTTGCTGGGCTTCTGGCCCCTCAGCACCCTGTAACCAGAGCAGACCAACAGAGAGGCCATGGCAGGCCTGACACTTAAGCGGAGGGCTGTGCACAGCCCACAATGGGCCCCATTCTCCCTGGAAGCTCATGGCAGGAGGGCAGAGGGGAGGCCAGGACATTCCTTCACCCCCTCACATGGAGGGAAAGGGCACAGGCAGCCCAGGGTATCAGAGGCCTGCATAAGAAGAAAGCCTGAGCAGCCATTTTTCTATCCAGCTGCACAAATCAAAAAGGGCCCCTCCTAAAAAAGCAGAAGGGAGTCCTGAGGTGCCAACTGATTAAGTCATGCGGATTAGATGACCTACACAGGAGTCCTCTCTCTGGGCAGCAGTGCCCAACCAGAAGGAAAAAAAAAACACCACCACCACTCAGGGCGTTGAGGGGACAAGGGACCCCACATCCCCCGTCAGCCCAGGGCTGGTACTACAAGCAGAACAATCAACTTTTCCTACTAAAGATTTCTTCCCAGTGCCAAGGAATCCAGTCACTTTTTAAACTACTTTTAAAACTGGAAAAAGCACATGTTCAGACTGGCAAACACAGTATGTTAAGTCTATACTATTGGGACTTCCCTGGTGGACCGGTGGTTAAGAATCCGCCTTCTGGGCTTCCCTGGTGGCGCAGTGGTTGAGAGTCTGCCTGCCGATGCAGGGGACGCAGGTTCGTGCCCCGGTCCAGGAGGATCCCACATGCCGCGGAGCGGCTGGGCCCGTGAGCCATGGCTGCTGAGCCTGCACATCCGGAGCCTGTGCTCCGCAACAGGAGAGGCCACAACAGTGAGAGACCCGCGTACCGCAAAAAAAAAGAAAGAAAGAAAAAAGAATCTGCTTTCTAATGTAGGGGACCCGGTTCGAACCCTGGTCGGGGAACTAAGATCCCACGTGCTGTGGGACAACTAAGCCTGTGCACTCTGGTGCCCGAGTGCCACAACTAGAGAGAAGCCCGCTCACCATAACAAAAGACCCCCACATGCCACAATGAAGACCCAATGCAGCCAAATAAACAAAAAATATATATATATATTTTTTTTAAGTCTATACTATTGACCCTTCTGACAAAATATTGTGATCTCTTCCAGGTAAGCAGAAGCAACAGCTGGTAGCACAATCCAGAGAAGGAAAGGAGACAGGAATCCTACTGTTATCTATTTGTGACTTTAGTGAATTCTATTTTTAGATCTTTATTAAAGAGCTTCTCTTCTAGTCTCCTCTTACCAAATTTCTCTCCTCAGGCAATTCAATCTTCACAATATTGCTCAAAAGTCTAAAAATATAAGACGCTTATTCAGGTATGCTTAACATAACAGATAAAGCAAAGTTCACTACACTTCCTCGTTTTCCACAAGACTCAGAATCCACCCCTGTTCAAGGGCTACTCATCAGGCTGGTCTCCACCATTAAAAAATCCAGTAAGCAAGAGACTTCTCTGGCAGTCCAGTGGTTAAGACACCATGCTTCCAATACAGGGGGCAGGGGTTCGATCCCTGGTCAGGGAACTAAGATCCCACATGCCGCACGGCAAAGCCAAAAAAATCCAGTAAGCAAAGCTCCCTGAGGTCAGGGCAGATCCGATGCAAAGACAATCTACCAGCCCAAGCAGGAGTATACACAAGACATTTACAGTGACGAGAGATGCATGTTTTATAAAAGCATTTCATAGTATAATAAGGGCCCAGAAAATGGATGGTATACCGGGTACTGATTAACAGCCAAATAAAAAGGAACCAGTATTTGCAATTCCATTATTAACTTTATCATTTTTCTTGGCAAAAACTGGTTAGAGAATCAACCCAGCCCTGGAGAACAACTAAGCTAATTAAAAGAGGCATTTATGAAAACCAAGGCAGAGCTGGTTCACTTCTGTCATAGACAGCCTTGGGAATCTTCTTAAGTAATCCCATATCAACCCCTGGAATTCCTAGAGTAAATGTTCCCAGTACAGTGAGAGGTAAAACAGAGACAACCATAACATTTGCCAAAACAAGCATCTACCAATTCCACGAATCTGTTTCAATACATATTAGAAAGAACTTTGTAAGCAGTGCTTCTTGTTTGTCGATTCCCATACTGCATACATAAAAACTTAACATTCATAGAAATGAAGAGCAAATGCCAAAACAGACCAAGCTGGGCACCGGCCTCTCTTTCCCTGAGTATGACACATCCTTCCAAATGTTTCACTCATCCTTAAGCTCCCCTCAACTGGCACACTCCCCTATACTTAGGGTGTCCAAGGGCTGTGACTGCCTCAGGAAGAATGAATCTGTGGCTACACATACCCCCAATGGCAGAGAATATCGAGTCTAGGCCTCTACGTGACTATAAAAATTGCATACCCATGCAAGTCATAGAAAAGGAACTGGGCAAAATGTACACAGTGCTTAAAAATGAAAATCAATAAAAACCTGCCTTACTTGATGTTATAGATGTGCTCCTCCAAAACTGTAAGTCACACTGCACTTTTTTCAAAAGTTTTATATTTAATATTGCAGTAATAAAAAGATTCTAAAAAAACTTTATGCACAAAGATGTTAACTGCAACATTATCTATTATAACCAAAGTAAGATTAACAACCATGTAAGAACTGGGGACAGGTTAACCATCAAAAATGTTATATTGGGCTTCCCTTGTGGCACAGTGGTTGAGAGTCTGCCTGCCGATGCAGGCGACACGGGTTCGTGCCCGGTCGGGGAAGATCCCACGTGCCGTGGAGCGGCTAGGCCTGTGAGCCATGGCCGCTGAGCCTGCGCGTCCGGAGCCTGTGCTCTGCAACGGGAGAGGCCAAAGCAGTGAGAGGCCCGCGTACCACCAAAAAAAAAAAAAAAAAAAAAGTTATATTTATAGAACAATGATCATGCTATAATGCTGGGAGGGCAAAAACAAGATTAAAAA